GCGAGCTGGCCCACAAAACGACAAAAAAGATAAGCAACGTATTTCTCCGTGCTCTAGCGGTGGATCCAGTTTCGTGAGCAGTGCAGCGAGGCCCTAAGTCCAAAATGAAACCACGCGAGCGGGCCCACAAAACGACAAAAAACGATAAGCATTTCTCCGCACTCCAGCGGTAGATTCAGTATCGTGAGTAGTGCAGCGAGGCCCTAAGTCCCAAACGAAACGACGTGAGCGAGCCCACAAAACGACAAAAAAAGATAAAAAAAGGACACAGGTGTCCCGTGGGCCCGCCCCTTGCCCCGCCGCCTTTCCCAACACTGGCAAGCGGGTCTCCGTGGGAGCGTCACGCGAAACCCTTTACACGCTTTAAGAGTGTTAAGGATATACCGCACATCATAGAGAACTCACAAAAAAACATTCAGAGAAAAACAAAAACTTATTTTTAGGCCCCGAAATATTTTTTGGCGGGGGCCGAACGCCGTCGGGTTCGGACCCCGAATGGGACCCCGAACGGGACCCCGAATGGGACCCCGAATGGGACCCCGAACGCTCGTACGTACGGAGGTCGGCCCGGGGTCCTCCATACGTACGGGCTGGTGACCCTGTATGTATATATATATACTAGGTTGGGAATTCTTGGGCTGTTCCCTGGAGATTGGGGATAGACAGCCTTAGAGCATACGCACATTAGGCCCTTAAAATCGCAAAATCACAAAATGAGCGGCCAGATCGAGTCCTTGTAAAGATAGGACTAGATCTGGCCGCTCATTTTGGGATTTTGCGATTTTGAGGGCCTAGTGTGAGTATGCCCTTATTTGGGTTGTTCTCAAAGAGTGCGAAATGAGTCGGACCTGGCACTAGGGTTGGAACGGACGATCAAAGCAGGCCAGGACTTTATGTCCTGGTCCAATCGAAGCCAGAAGGCTGCCGCAATTGCCGGTTGGCTGCACAGGATTGATGCGAATTCGTCCCTACGGTATAAAATACCAGGTCAAGTGATGCTTCTCAAAATATTTTATCAGAGGAAGGCCTACCCTGTGGAATTGTTCCTAAGGGTACTAGAGAATTTTGCAGTTAAAAGAGGCCCGGTCTGGAAACTGACCGTGGACCTTTTGAGAAACTTCGCGTGACTGCGACGTTTGACGAAGAAGGGTAGTATTATTAGTAGTATATATTTAGTATCGGCCATATGTTCATCCTCTCACAACAGCTAGACTACTTCGGTGGTCGTCTATTCTAGCACGACCACTGCGCAATTTTGTCGGGATCGACGGTATGGTCGGCAGATCATAGGGTTTGATGGTGTGAAGGTGGGAGACAACGGGATGGGACGTCCGTAATGTTACTTTTTCCAATTTGACATCCCGCTCAGCGGGTCATTGCTGTTAAACTGTCTTTGTGAGACTGTGTACATGAACTGTGGTTTGTGTGCACTGCTGTTTTTGCACCCTGCGCAAGCGCTTGAAAACCGTCGGAGGATTGCTGCTCCGATTGGTGGTCAAGATTACGATTGTCCTCGGGGATTGACTCACAAGTTTGAAGGCTCTCCTATTCATTGCTACCTGCTCCGACAACATGGCCTCTTCGAGTCAAGCCCCTCCATCGGGTGAGGGCAGCGGATCGGGCAGTGGCGGGCGCCGAGTACCACAGTGCTATTCCTGTAAGCACTACGGGCACTACGCTCGGGATTGCGGACTCTACTGGAAAGAGTAGAAAGACAGGGCAGAACATAAGCGACATGACGGTGAAGAACAGGGACCAGCTCAGCCGCTTAGGGCTGACCAACCACGAGCAAGATCGATTTCGCCGAGGCGCCGACACTGGGAGCCACCTCGAAGATCACCCTCCGCGGATCGTTATGTATCTACAATACTATAAGAATCACTATTTCTTATCGTACGGCCTGAATCGCAGGCCGGTACCGTTACCGGCGACGGCCCAGATCGGCCTGCGATCAGAAAGTTTTCTCATCGGCCTGCGATCTGGGCCGTCGCTGGTAACGCTTCGCTGACGGCCCAGAACGCAGCCCGGCGCGAGCCCACCCCTCAAATCCCCACTCCTTCGAGCACGGTACCGAATCGCCCGCGCGCCTACACTTGCCACGCCCGTTTTTCCATTGCCGGCCCGCCGCTCCAATCGCCCGCGCGCAATGTTGTTGCCGCCCACGGCCACTTCTCCAATCGCCCGACACTACGTCGAGAACTTCGTCTCTCTTTCTCGACGTGCGCCTGTGTGCTCCGTGTTCCGTGCGCGTGTGATCGTCGGTCGGTGCTCTACGGGTGCCTCTCTCTCTCTCTCTCTCTCTCTCTCTCTCTCTCTCT